TAAATTACCGATACTGTTCGAACTGCAAGCCACCTGCTTGAATGTTTTTTTTATTATAAGTAACTGTACAGTGACTTTATATATATATATATATATATATATATATAAATTTACAAAACGCATCATCCCAAAACAGAAAACTTTTTCTGCGTTGTTATTAACTTTCCTATATATTAATAGAAATAAAATTTATCATTTTGCTGATTGATGTTATATTCTGGGAGAAAAAAAATAGGGTATCTACTCAAACATCGGTATCCGCAATACATATACGTTTTCTGAATATCCTATTATAATTGTACTTGGAAAGCTTCGTTTGTTTGCACGACCGTTATGTCCTGCCAATAAGTCATAAATAATGGACTAATCCGTTTTGACCGCGTGGAAAGAGGGAAAAGATATTATTTGGTTTCAGTGAGGAATTGCAAAAAAAGGAACGAAAGAAGTGAAGTGTTTAACGATTGTTTCAGGGTAATGGAAAATTTGGCAATTTCAAATCTTTTCATTTCTACCCACGTCTTAAAATAACGACAGGCATTCATATTTATGATTGTTATTGTAAGATTTTATAAGTTGTTAAGCTCAAATATTTTAACGGTGTGGATGGGAGAATTTCTATGAATATTTTATTGTCATAGAACTCGGCATAAGCTTACTCGGTTATTAACTAAACAATTAAGATTCCGTGAAGAATTAAGAAAAGCATGAAATTCTCAGTAGTTAATAAAAATTCCGACCCTTTGTGGATCATCAGGCAAATAAAAAGCATGACACTAAATTTTACTAGATGATTATTTTGAGCCTAAAAAGATTTTTCCACCTTGTTAATTTTCCTAATATATATATATATATATATATATATATATATATATAGAGAGAGAGAGAGAGAGAGAGAGAGATTTAATACACCGGTTAATGAAATTCGAGGTATAAAAAGACAGCAAAAAATAAAAATATATATTATATAAAAATATATATAATATATAAGACTGATGATATTTATTATATATTTGTAGGACTTTTCACTAAACCGAAGCGCGAAGATTTTAAATTCGAAACTTTTGGACACGCCTGTGTCCTTTTTCAACGAGAAGACAAATAAACAGTGAAGTGAGACACACTCTTCCGGGGAATTTTGTTGTTTTTTTTTTATCCCTATCAGAAATTTGATTTTGGCCTAGTAGTTTGCCACGATTAGGGCTGTGGTGAGTTTGTAGAACACTCGCTGTGTAAATTGTATTCTCTGAGTAAACTTAAATCCCTGTTTTGTGCATTAATATGTGATTCTATTTTGAAAATGTGTTTTAACCCAGATTTACGTCGTTCTTGTTGGCACTTAAATGAAGACGATAAAAATACGTATCTGATGTCATTAATGCTGTGGCCCAGTTGGTTGAAATGTGTAGCGACATGAAATTGTTGTTGTCTTTGGTAGTTTTTTATGGTTACTTAACCGAAGACAGGATTCCGTGCCTGTTTCTCCGTCAAAATTTCCTTCTTTTTGCATTTGTTGCAGAAAAAAAATATATAAAAGTTGAAAAGTTGAATTATATATAAAAGTTGAATTGCAACAAGTCGAAGACGGTGGTCTGATTAGCGTGTGTGTGTGCCGAGAGTGTGTGAAAATGGTATCAGTGATGAAATATTTACAGAAATGGCATCGAGGTTTATTGCAAGTGACGTTCGCTTGGTGAGGTGGTGATTTATATATGCCAGATGATGTTAGGAGTGTGCGTAGGTTGGTGGTTGACGCCTGGTGTTGAGTGGGTTTTCGCAAAATAGCTTTTTTAATTGAGTGTTCGAGTTTTAAATACTGGAAATCTTTTAGGCTAGAAGCGAGGCAAAGTCAGAAGTGAGGGTTTATCTAGTGAATATCGAACGAATTCACTAATTGAACTGGAGACGAACTTGGTAACATTACATAGCATATATATATATATATATATATATATATATATATATATATATATATATATAAATATAGACGAGTTCGTCTATCACCCGATTCACTCCCCTTCCCTTTCCTTTGAACAGGAGTAGAGGCTTATCCTTTGTTTCCGGTTTGGGAGTTTCCGGTTCCGTCTCCTAAAGTCTTCTCATTGTGTTTCACTCCCAGTAACCACTTGTGTCTTAATGGCATTATCGCCTTGCTTGGGGTGAATTAATGATACACACACACACACACACACACACACACACACACATATATATATATATATATATATAAATATATAAACATTGAAGTCAGCAATTAGAGGTGACAGTCTGTTTCATGCTAGACGCAATCGTCAGGCCACCGATGGCGTCTAGCATGAAACAGACTGTCACCTGTTGACTTCAAGTGTCGACCTCAATGTTCACTTTTATATTTACACACGCTCTATCTCTGATATTGAGCACTTTATCCCATAAATATAGCACACCTTAAGACTATATTTCTTCATATATATATATATATATATATATATATATATATATATATATATATATATTTGGGCAGAAATCCCTCTTTTAGACAAATTTCATTCACTATGTCTGACAAGGCACTACGATGAAGCTTTTTATTTCATTTTTCTTAAATTCAGTTAAATAAAAATCGTCCTTGATAATGGCTAAAAAAAAATAACCGGAAGCACTTGGATATGAAGAACTTTGTTTCCAGAAAAAAAAACAAGAAATATTAAATAAAAAGCTTAATCGCTGGCAGTGCCTTCTCAGTCGTCTTTAACGAAACTTGTATAAAAGAGGGATTACTGCCAAAATACACCATATATATATCCGGGTATAAAAAACAAAATTTTAGTGAGAGTGCATGTGTAGGAGTAGGAAACAAGTTTAAGAGGGAAATGCATGAAAGCTCTAGAGAGAGGGTTTAACAGAAGGAAGAAGAACAGGAAGGCCTAAAGACGAAGGTGAGGATTAAAATTTAACAGAGAGAAGTTTTAAAGAGAGGAGTTAAATAACGGTTTAAATGAGTGAGATACATATAAATATAAATTCTTACTCTGTCCTGGACATTGATTTCTAACTGGATTCTATCCTCATGGGAATTCATGTATATATATATATATATATATATATATATATATATATATATATATCGACCACTAATATTATCTCTCTCTCTCTCTATATATATATATATATATATATGTGTGTGTGTGTGTGTGTGTGTGTGTGTGTGTGTGTGTGTGTGTGTTCTGGTTGCCTGACTATCACATTATTGTGAAACTAGATTTTTAATTATATTGGTCATACCACTCAATGCCTATCTAGACGACTCACGTTATATTTATCTCACCACAGCTCA